CCTGCCTGGAGAAAAGGGAGGAGGGGAGCAAGGCTTTCGCATTTCTCCTCTCGTCCCCCGTGTTCCCCTCCTCACCGCCAGCCCTCGCTCCTGCTCATGCCCCCACTCCCTCATACCCCCCCCTCCTCCTCTCCCTCCCACATTTCGTCCTGCTCCGAACCTCGCTCTCGTCCCGCTTCTTCGCTTTCCTCCTCCTCCTCCTCCTCCTCCTCCTCCTCCTGCTCGTCGTCAGCGTCGCCGTCCTCCTCCTCCTTCTCCCGCTCGTCGTCGTCGTCGTCGTCGTCGTCCTCCTCCTCCTCCTCCTCCTCCCTCCTCGTCGTCTCCCTCCTCGTCGTCTCCATCCTCCTTCTCCTCCTTCTCCCTCCTCGTCGTCTACCTCCTCCTCCTCCTCCTCCTCCTCCTCCTCCTCCTCCTCCTCCTCCTCCTCCTCCTCCTCCCTCCTCGTCGTCTCCCTCCTCCCCGTGGGGCCTCACGCGGCCATGCTGCGTGAGGCGCCGGCGGCGCCGCCGCGCGCTGGCTCCCTCAGGCACGCGCGGGCCCGCCCTCGAGAGAGAGCCGCGCGGCTGCGGCCCGCGCCGTGCGGCGCCGGCGCCCCCTGTCGTCGCTCCTCCGTCCTCCTCCTCCTCCTCCTCCTCCTCCTCCTCCTCCGACCTCCTCCTCCTGTGTTCTTTTCCTCCTCATCCCCGGTGCCTCTCCCCCCAGCACCTTCTGTCCCTCCTTCTCGGGACCACCCCTCGCCCTCTCCTCTTGCTCCGCCTCCTCACGCACTTCCTCTTTTCCCCCCTTCCGAAACCATCACCACTATTCTCACCGTCACCACCATCACTGTCACCAACATGATCATCCTGCACCTCATGTGCCTCTTCTTCCTCCTCCTCCTCCTCCTCCTCCTCCTCCTCCTCCTCCCTCTCCTTGACCTGCTCTCTCGCCTTCTCATAGCCCCGCCTTCCACTCTGCTGCTTCTCTTCATCCTCCCCCTTGATTTTTATGTTCCTCCTCCTCCCTCCTCCTACGCCTCCTACTTCTCTCTTCTTCTGATTATCCAGGCCCTCCTCGTTCTCGAGAGCCAGCTAGGGGTGCCCAAGATGCATCCAAGATGTACCGCATAGCCTCGACGAGATCGCCAGAGACGATATCAACAAGATACATCTTACCCCACGCTGGGCATACCAGCTGGAACAAGTATTGCCTGTGACCATTCGCGCTGCTTGAACAAACAACATAACACTTAGTTGGACAACCCCCTTACGCAAAAAACTACATCGCACCCAATATCACGGGATTTGAATTGCGTGCGCCTCTACATAGTTGGTGCGGGGAGCCCAGCCTAGAACAGCAAGACGCTCAGGGTCAAACCACGTATCAACCAGCCATTGGCAGCGGCTGGGAGGGGTGGGATGTTTTAAAAAAGCAGTTGAGTTGGCGACTTCGGTATTTTCAAACGTGAACGATCGCCAAAGTATTCATCACACCCGCGCGCATCAATAACAGCATGGAGCAAGGCAACCAACATTGCAATCGACTCGGACCTGGCAGCTGACTGCTATAGTCCAGAATGGGAACCTGAAGAAACTACACGATCCTATCCACTAGCGGGCACCGACACGGCCCAAATACCACAACTGAGGGCATTTCGAGATGGCCCCCGAAAAGCCGAAGCCATAGCCAACAACGGCAAAAATGACAATGGCCTGAGGGCCCAGTGGACTACCGTGTTTGGGAGGGGTGGATGTGGGGGGGAGACACTCTGGATCATATACCAACCCTGAATACCAAAGTCGATGTGCTCGTAAAATTCTCACGCCTGCAGTCCGTGCGAACAACGGTCTTCCCATGGAGCAGCGCAACTGGAGTCCAGATGGCACAGCGCAACCTGCATCCACAAGTGTGTATCCACGTGGCGAGCACTCCGAACACGATTCCACCGACCCGGTCAACAGAGCACGAATACACTTGCTCGGATGTCGCCCCAGACACGAAACGGGCCCCCCTCGGCCCGGACGCAGCCGGCAGACACGGAGAGGGGAAGGGGAAGCGAGGGGGGGACGGGAGGGGGGAGGCCTCAGCGGGGGGCGGGGGCGTTCTCGCTCTCTGCCCCCCCCCCCCCTCCTCTCGCCTCCGGCAAAAGAAGGTTTGCCCTCTCAACCTTCGCGAGCAACGCCTTCGAGGATGGGGCAGCCCCATGTGCCCCACCCTACTCTTAAGTCGGGCGTGTCCCCCTGCAGCGGGATTTTTGGGCGAAGAAACAACTCAAAAATACCCCCCACATGAGCAAAAATAGTCAAAACACTGTCCCCAGACTATTGTTTGACTATTTTTGAATGATCCCCCTGTAGAGGGACAGGGCCGATTTAACCCTACTCATCAGGTTTATTCCTACCCCTGCTGCAGCCCTCGCCATCCCTTCTTCATCCTCCTGCCTGCCTGCGGCAGAGGGGGTGGGGGGCTGCTGGAGACCGGAGCGGGGTCAGATGGCCGCGGCGGCGCCGGGGCTGCGGCGTGCGGTGTCGCGCCGCACGTGCGACACGAGCGAGTCGGGGTGGAGGAGGCGCGGTGCAAGTGTACTGTGGAGGGGTCGGGCAAGGTTGGCTGGCTGCGGTGGGAAGTGGAGCCGTGCTGCGATGCCGTGCCACGCGAGTGGAACGAACGAGTCGCGGGCGGAGGGGGCACAGGGCTGCTGCGGTGGCAGGAGAGAAGCTGGCTTGCTGGCTGGCTGGCTGGCTGGCTGCAGCGACAAGGCTGCGGTGCGTTGCTGGGCCGTGCGTGCGAATAAGGAGGTCGAATCTCTAGACACAGACTGCAAAATAATGAGATCCTCCTCCGCCTCCCCACTTGTTCCTCGCACTGATCTGCAAGAGCGGAAGCCCGCCTACAGATAAATTGTCAGAGGTCCGCGCAGAGTTCGTGCGTCGTCGACGCTGGACCCCCCCAGGGGTCTCTGGCGCGCAACACGCTCCAGGGGTGGCGCTGGAGGCGCCGCCGTTGGATTCCATAGAAACGTGGGTCAGTATGGTTTTTGCTATTCTATCCTCCTCCTCCTCCTCCTCCTCCTCCTCCTCCTCCTCTTCCTCCTCGTTCGTTTGTTCGTTCGTTCGCGGCTTTAGGGCAGGGAGTGAAAGCCCGATCACTGAAGGTGGACGGCAAAAGAGGCGGATGCGGGGAGAGAGTGGCGGCGGCAGCAGAGCCAGCAGCCAGCAGCTGCGAATGATTGAAGTCCTCGTCGGAAGGGTGCTGCCCTTGTAAGTCTGGCGGAGACTAAGTCCTTCCCCAACCCAACGGTACTTTCCTTGACGGTACTACCGCTTTACGGCGCGGTGAACCCCCCTCGAGGACTCAACAAGCGTAGCAACAGTAGCAAACTCAAGGGCCCTTCCCTAGAAAAGGTACTGACAAATGAGTGCGTCGTACAAAAGCTCCGGCATCAGGCCAGAGGTGAGGGCAGCAAGCATTAACCATCAACCTTTATCCTGAATCCGATCTCGCTGGCTTATTTTGTTGCATGCAATCCATGCCCAACGTCTGTGTGTCAATGTACGGGTCCACGGGCACATAGTAACAGCGTAATGACGGTGGAATCCATTCCTCACTCCTCCTCCTCCTCTTCCTCCTCCCCCTCCTCCCCCTACTCCCTCCTTCTCCTCTTCGTCCTCCTCCTCCTCCTCTTCCTCCTCCTTCTCCGCAATTACACCATCTGAACAATATTCTCCTCTCTCCCATGATGACGTCTGGAAGATACTCGGTCCCCTCCGCGTATTATTTTTTACGCACGATTCCCGGGAATTGGGCTTTCTCTTGGTTTTTGTTCTCCTCGAAAATGCAGTTCCCGCTGGAGCGCTGGCCTCCTTTTCGGGCTTCCGCTCGTTCCGACTCGTGCTCCCGCAGCAGCGCTCGCCTCATTTCCGCGCATCCGCTTGTTCCGAATTGTGCTCCCGCTGCAGCGCTTGCGTCATGGTTTCCCGTGCCATGCCAAAGCATGCAATGCAATGCTATGTGGTGTTCCGCTGTGCGATACCATATCTTCAGGTACGATGCTAGGATATGCAATGCTTGACTGCGCAGTGACACGCCATGCTATGCCATGCTACGCTGTTATCTTCAACGCCATGCTACGCCATGTTCTGTTTTGTGCCGCCGTGCGATGCCAATCTGTGTGTTACCATGCTTTGTGATGCAACTCTTTAATACGCAACGCCACGTCATGCTATGACATACTACGCTCTGCCGTGCTCTTCTACGCCCTGCTATGCCGTGCTCTACGATGCATCGCGCACCCTCTCGGGATTATTGCCCTGCTCGACATCGTTATGGTAAGGGATGGGAGGGAGGGGTAGGACGTCAGATATGACGCGAGCGCACCTAGCTTGCCCCCCCCTCCCAGCTCCACAATTACACAATATGAATACTACGCGTTGATCTTCAACACCATGCTATGCCATTTAATGCTATGCCACGCTACTGAGTGTGGGAATAGGAGAGGAGATCTACGCCATGGTAAGGGATGGGAGGGAGGGGTAGGACGTCAGATATTACGCGAGCGCACCTAGCTTGTCCGTCCCTTTCCCCCCCATTCCTCCCTCCCTCCCTCCCCCCTTTCCTCCTCCTCCTCCTCCTCCTCCTTGCTCCTCCTTCTACTGCTCCTCCTTCTACTCCTCCTCCTCCTCCTCCTCCTCCTCCTCCTCCTCCTCCTCCTCCTCCTCCTCCATTCCCTCTGATGGACCCGCCCAGGCTGCGCGTTTTGCCTTGCTGCCCCGCGGCTGTGGTGTCCGCTGGCACGCAGGACGCGGAGGCGCGGCGCCGTCATTCCACCGCTAGGGCCACCTGCCCAAGGTCCTCCTCCTCCTCTCCTCCTCCGCCTTTCCTCCTCCTCCTCCTCCTCCTCCTCCTCCTCCTCCTCCTCCTCCTCCCTTCCCTCTGATGGACCCGCCCAGGCTGCGCGTTTTGCCTTGCTGCCCCGCGGCTGTGGTGTCCGCTGGCGCGCAGGACGCGGAGGCGCGGCGCCGTCATTCCACCGCCAGGGCCACCTGCCCAAGGTCCTCCTCCTCCTCCTCCTCCTCCTCCTCCTCCTCCTCCTCCGCCTCTACCTCCTCCTCCTCCTCCTCCTCCTCCTCCTCCTCCTCCTCCTCCTCCTCCTCCTTTTGCCAAATTTTGCCCTCGGGATCGAAGAAAAAGGAGCCCTCTGACGCTTTGTGGGCCGCTGGCGGGCCTCCCGCGGCCGCCCGAGGCCTCCGGAGGCCGGGGGATCTCGGGGGACCTCCGGGGTCAGGATCTGGCAGAACGAGGAGAAGGAGGAGGAGGAACAAGGAGGAGGAGGAGCAGGAGGAGGAAGAGCAGGCGGAGGAGGAGCAGGCGGAGGAAGAGCAGGCGGAGGAGAAAGAGGAGGCGGAGGCGGAGCAGGAGGAGGAGGAGCAGGAGGAGGAGGAGGAGCCGGAGGAGGAGGAGCCGGAGGAGGAGGAGGAGCAGTCGAAGGAGGAGCAAGGAGGAGGAGGAGCAGGAGAAGGAGGAGCAGGAGGAGGAGAAGCAGGAGGAGGAGGAGGAGGAACAGGAGGAGCAGAAGGAGGAGGAGGAGCAGGAGGAGCAAAACTGACCACCTCCTTCTCCTCGTCATCGTCCTGCTCCCCCTTCTCCTCGTCATCGTCCTGCTCCCCCATCTCCTCGTCCTCGTCCTGCTCCTTCTCGATTCCCGCCCTTCGAAGGCAACGCGTTCGAGCGTCTGAAGAGATGGACTCCGAATCACCACTAACTCTGCTCGAACATAGTGGCACAGTCATGTGGAATTTGGAGACCATCAGTGTTTCCTTCGCTGCGTTGCCATCGATCCTCTTCAACAATATCTGGACTCCAAACCATCACCAGCCCCGATTCAACATCTGAAGGCGTTCTGCGTTCCACTTATACGTTCCTGGCAAAAGAAGAAATCAAACGTCGGATGGTGAGCAAAAATACGTCCACCGCACACTTCTCTCCACCAGCCACCTCCCACTCCCCCCTGCCAGTGCTCCCTCCCCATCTCTCGTCCCCTCCTTCCCTTCCCACCTTCCAAACGGGGCGATGCCCCCCCCACACACACACCTGAACCACAAACCCCGCGCTGGGCGGCCCTTTTGCCCAAATGCGGGGGACGTCCGGAAGAGCGGGAGACCAAGGCAAGGGGGCAACGCATGGGCGGAGGGGTGGCAGGGTCAGTCTAACTACCGTGACGAGGGAGACACGAGACAGAGGGGGGGCGGTGGCATGCAACAACATTCGATTTACGGGATTGCGAAAGTAGTGAGCTCCACCTTGTCTGTATCCGTCTGAGATCCGCCAGGGGTGGTGGGAAGACAGAGAGAGAGGGAACAACAATAATAGAGAAAAGGATGACTGGGAGGGAGAAGAGAGGACGTATGACGGAGAAGTGGGACGTTGGCAGGCGCGTCCAAGACTGAAGACGATGGCACGCTGACGGCACTATGATCTTTGCCAATTGTGTCCTCAAGCCCTGCAAGAACCAGGTGTTTTTGGGCCCACGTGCCTCTTGCTCCCAGAAGGCTTTCAAGGCGGCCCAACCGGCACATATTGCGCCCCGAAAGGGCGTCTCTCGAGTCCTGCCCAGAGGCCCAAAACAAGCTTCCAACAGGCATCAACATGGGCCACAAGTCCCCCACGACGGACCTAGAACTCCTCGAGAGCGATATGAGAAGACAGCCAAAGAGGCCGCCGACAAACTCCCAAGACGGCTGTAAAGACCATGAGACGTCCGGAAGCATCTAAGACGCCAGCAATAGCCCCCCCCAATAATCTACTCAAACGCCCCCGGCATCCCCCGAGATTTGAGTAGGGCTGGGGGGTCAGGTCTGCAGAACGCCCCAAACGGACGTCAAGGGGCGGAAACCAACCTGTTCGGTCAAGCCGAAATGGATGCACCACACGCAGTGTCACGCAAAAACTTTGGACACAAGCGAATTTTGACTTTGCACATATTCGTCGGCTTAACCAGCGAGGCGTTTGACCACCTCGACGTCCTTTTTTGGTGGTCTTGCAGAGGAAGGTACTCTCTGACCGTCGGCTGCACTAATCCCGAGAGGCGTCCACATCCTTGAGAAACTCAAATACTTAAAGAAAGGCATCTGAGACGGCCATAGCAAATTCAACGAAACTGGTGAGGGTTTCCAAAGCCCCCGGGATACTCCCCATACGCGTGCCGAACGGCTTCGTCATTGTGTGACTGCTTATCTCGCTCATCGCGCTCCTCTTCATGTTGTTCCTCTCGCCATCGCTCGGACGTCCTTTCCCCGTGCATGTTTCGATTTCGTGCGTGTATCTCACAGGAGAATCCAGGATGCTCCTCGATGGTCCTCGCCGAGGGAAAAATGCACACGTCCGCGCGATGCCACGTCTTCTGCTGTGTATACGTTCATGGCAGGCTGGAGAGCAGCACACAAAATATTAAACCATAGACGCTATTACAAACCAAAGGCAAACCATAGCATGGCAACCTTGTTTACATCGCAACGCTGACGGACACTCAGCCCGGTCGGAACGGCAACAAGAGCAACGGAATCACAACTTGGGCACTACACGGAAGAGCAAAGAGGTGCAATACCAGGACACACGCTGGACAACACACTCCGAACTGACATGGCTATACAAAACAAGAGCAAGCAAACCAACATGGAAAAGGGCTATAACATGACAGGGTACACTATAATGAGCCAGCCGACGCATGCGGATATGCAGGTGGCACGCAGAAGTCAGACCAGACCATGTTACATTGGAGACCACCAGATACAAACAGGGGGATCAGACCATACGAGACTACGTATACTAGGATGTGAAGATAGGTAAGCGCATGATCGTAATGTCCTCATCCTGCCGCCATCATCACAGTTCTTTCAGATCACCATGGCATGGCTATAACTGCTGTTACCCCGCTCATGCTGGTATTGCTGTTTCCTCTTGTTGGCCGAGCAGATCAGACCAGATAAAACATGGTCATACCTGGTCATGTTAGAAGGCCCTATCACTGCAGCCAAGGCCAGACCAGCAAAGGACAGGCGAAGAGGACGACGATGTTGATGTGATGGGATCCATCAGTAATGAGTAGAGCGGGGAGGTGAGGCGGGGCAGGAAAGTCAGGATGCGTGGGATGTGGAAGCAAGGAATGAGGAGCACCATGAGGAAAATGAGCGAGGACCAAGCCTCCGAGGCCAGAGATGATCCCCAACCGCTGCCTAAAGACCCATGAAACAGCCAAAGGGGATCCAAGAAACCGCCAAGACTTGTCCAAACTATCTCCCGATGCTACTTCAGATGGTCCAAGCGACAGCCTCAGAGCACTCAAATAAGCTTCTCACAAGAGGCTGAAGGCGGCCCTGAGACGCCAAGGGCCCAACACATCAGCCGTAACACGCCCGGAATGTCCAAATCACACCTGAGACCCCAGAGAAAAGATGGCCGCCCACACTCTCAAAACATCGGACATTGCACACAACGGCTCCGACACAATTGGAGATAGGGGGTTCAAGAAAGAGGCAATGCGCACGCGGGGTGTGATCGCACGCACCCCCTGTGCATCCAACCGTGCGCCAGAGAAACGACGTTAAACACGGCGAGACACGAGAACTGCCCCACCCTCGAAGGGAGAGACCTCGCCGGCCCATCGGGCCCGAGGAGCGTTTCAAACGCTCGTCTGGCTCGATGGGCCACATTCGGTGTGCAAAATTGAACAGCTTGATCTTCCGAACGGATAAACTGTCAATCTGATTCATGCTAGGACATAGGTGGTCTAGCTCGCGCGCGCGAGGGCGGACTTGGCGCCCACGACGCCAATTCTGGGCAAAAGCTACGAAAGCACCATCCATCATCAAGGCGAATGGGGCCAACCAGTGGAAAACGTCAACATGGCCAAGATGCACCTCGAAAAAATCCCAAAGCTGAAAACAGAAATTACAGCGGTGCACGCCCAAGACACCACATTGGGTGCCCGCCTTGTGTAGACACGCAGGCGGCATGAGGGGGAGGATATACAAATGGAGTAGTTGACGGGATTATGTGCAGACGGAATAAGAATGGGAAGGTAGAGTGGTACAGACTTCGGACGGATGCACAGGAAATGCTGATTTGCGAAAGAGCCGATCGAATGCACCCCTTACCGAATTATCATTAATCACACCTGCGCGCTCCCATATATGCGTGTCGGCCCTGCGTCTCCTAACCCAGCGGACTGCGCGTGGCGGAGGAATTCTGGTGAGATGTGGTGCGTCGGCAATACGGTGACCCACAAGTCCGAAGGGCAAAACGCCCATGCATTACGGCGCTGCGTCTCGTGGCCCAACAGACTGCACGTGGCGGGGAATTCTGGTAAGTTGTGGTGCGTTGACCATGTGGCAACCAACCAATCCGAAAGCCACAACGCCCGTGCGATTCGGCTTGGCGTCTCCAGGGCTGACAGACTGCGCGCGGCGAGAGAATTCTGGTGAGATGCGGTGCGTCGCCGATGTGATAAACAACAGGTCCGACGGCCGAAACGCCCGGCGCGTTTCGGCGCGTTTCGGCCCTGCGTGTCCTAACCCAGCGGGCTGCGCGTGGCGGGCACATTCTGGTGAGATGTGGTGCGCCGGCTATGTGATAATAAACAGGTCCGAAGGCCAAAACGCCCATGCGTTTCGGCGCTGCGTCTGCTGGACCAACAGACTGCGCGCGGCGGGAGAATTCTGGTGAAGTGTGGTGCGTCGACTATGTGGTAACCAACGAGTCCGAAGGCCACAACGCCAATGCGTTTCGGCCCTGCGTCTCCCAACCCAACGGACTGCACGCGGCGGGGGGATTATGATGAGACGTGGTGTGTCGGCTATGTGGTAACCGACGAATCCTCCGAAGGCCAAGACGCCCATGCGTTTCGGCCCTGCGTCTGCCAACCCAACAGACTGCACGCGGTGGGGGGATTCTGGTGAGATGTGGTGTGTCCGCTATGCCGTGACCATCGAGTCCAAAGGCCACAGCGCCAGTGCGTTTCGGCCTTGCGTCTGGGGCGGCAGCTTCCGTCGCCCCTCCTCTCCCATCGGCCCTCCTCCTCCTCGTCCTCCTGCATCCTCTTGCCCCCCCCTCCTCCTCCTCCTCCTCCTCCTCTTACTCCTCCTCATCCTCCTGCTCCTCCTCCTCCTCCTCCTCCTCTCAAGCCACTTGGGCCCGCACCATTTTGGCGGGGCTCATTCTCCGGTGTTTTCTCGGAGCGCTTGAGGTACTTTGCCCGCGCACCCCGCCGAGGAATTGCGCGGCACCGACTCAAGCATGAAGAATTGTCCAGTCGCTATGGCGCCAGGTGCTCGCCTGTGGACTCGCTGCCCTTCGTGCCAGTCCTGAGGGCACAGCAACGTCCGGGTACGTAATCGCTCCGCCTGTGGCACCTCTGGCGAGGAAGTAGTGCTGCTCCCAAGTCCAAGGGTGCCAAGGTGCACTTCTTTGACTTGTCCGAGGGAGCTCAGGAGGAGGCCTCTCTCGCGCACCCGAAGGGGACCCTCCGCACCTCGAGGAGCGCCTCGCCAGCCAGCGGCCCTGGGGCTGGCAAAGGCGACCGCGGGACGCTTGGAAGCGGCAAGAAGCCGCCGTGGCGCGAGGTTGTGAGTGAGGAAGGCATCCCAAAGCAGGTCGCCTCGCTCCTGTCTGGCGCCCTGGCGGCCTCCAGCGACAGTGATCTGAAGTCCACTCTTCAGCAGCAAGTCGTCAGGCTGGATAAGGAAGTCGAAGAAACCAAGCAGCACGAGACCTCGGCAATTGAGCAGCTACGCCGCGCAGGCGGAGTTTACCGCGACGCGGCTCACAAACATTCCCAGGCAGTTTCTAATGTGCTTCGCCTTCGTCAATCGCTGGCAGCGGCCTAGACCAAGGAGGAGGAGCTCGACAAGCAGCTGGCGCAGGCGGCCCTGGCCAGGAAGGCGGCGGCGGCAGTGGCTCACGCAGGGGGCGTTGGCGCGGCGGAGGCCCCGCTCGCGGCGCCGTCGCAGGGTGCGTATCTCTCAGGCTTCGTGGATCACGAGTTCTTCAACGGCATCGAGGAGCTCGAGTGTGAGGACAGCGGGCGCGAAGGCCTCAAGGAGATCCACCAATGCTTGCTTGCAACGGAAAGGTAGATGCCGGCCAAGGGGACCGAGGATCGGAACTGGCTGACGCGGATGGAGAAGTATCGTAAGGAGCTCGCCGACCGCATGGCGAAGAAGCGGAACGTCTCCGATGGCCCGACCGCCGCTGCCCCAGGAGGCGATGGCGCGGCTTCTAGTAGGACTCCTGCCACACCTGGCGCTGCTAGCGCCCCTGCGGCCGCTGACGCTGCAGCCGCAGCGCAGGCGGTGTCCACCAATGCCGCCGAGCTCGATTCGGAGGCCAAGCGGCTTTCGGAGGCCAAGTTCCAGGCGGAGCAGCACATCGGCCAGGGCGCGAAGGGCCAGAAGGTCAGCGGCAAGGGCAGGGACGGAGCGCCTGGAGGCTCTGCAGCTCCTGCGACTGGCGCTGGCGGGCCCCCGCCTCTGGACTAGCCCCTGCTACGCTGGTTGGCGTGGAGGCGGCGCGGGCTGAGCAGGAACCTGCAGCCGCCAAGAAGGGAGCATGAATGGCGTTCCGCGCCGGTTCTATGCCCACGTGTCCTGCATGGGGGGGGTGAGGCCTGGTCGTGCGCCGACAACTCTGACTATCAGTTCTACGCCATAGTAGTGGCACATGCACATCAGCAGGCCGCTCTTCGTCGTTGGGAAGGTAAGGCCAGGGGGCGTGGCCTTCGTACTGCCTTCAACCCTGCTCGTCCTCGGGATCGGCACGTGTCGTTGTCGCAGGAGGTCTACGTCAACGAGGGTGGCGAGGGGCTGTTGGCCAAGAATCACCTTCGCGCCCATGGTCTACCAGTCGTTCGCGCCGCTGGGGCGCTGCTGCAGGCGCCTTCGCATGAGGCGCAGGACGGCTTCTCTGTCATGCTGGTCCACTTCCAAGGCTTCTCGATGGTGGTCATCACCTTCTCCGCGCTCCACAGCATGGGGCTCACTGGAGCCAACGTGGGTAGGTTCCAGAGGCTGTCAGCGCTCGTGCATGCCCTGCAGGTCCCATGGTTGGTCATATGGGACTTTGACATGGGTCCCTCGGCGTTGACCAAGACGGGGCTGTTCAAAACACTTGGGGCGGTGCTCGTGACTGCTGACGGTGATGCCACATGCCTTTTAGCTTCAGGAACCCATCTAGAGTATGTCATGTGTAGTATTGCTGCTAGGCCCTTCATCCTCCAGGTTCTTCCACGTGAGCCTGGCCCTTGGAGGCCCCATATAGAATTGGAGGTCCGTTTTCGAAACTCTGGGGAACAGCTTGTGACAAGAGTGATACAGGCTCCAGGACGTCTTCTTTAGGTCTCGCGCCCGACTAGCGTTCCTACTCCTGGGTCCAAGTCGAGTGTCGCTCGTGCCCGTAGGCAGCTTCAGCATCAGGCGGCAGTGACCTCCAGCAATGACACATGTCACACCTTGTTTGAGGATTGCGTGTCAAATCCCTGCGGGATCAGCAGAGTGAGGAGAGTTCTGGGGTCGAGCCCTCGTCCAGCGCTGTAGGTACTGTTCAGAATGCACCGAATGAATCTGATTATGAATGTGATTTTGGTTTTGAATTTTCAGGGTGGCTGCAGGAGGAGGATCCGTGGGCTCAGGAGCTCAACGGCTGCCCCGATTCTGGCCTCGATGCAGCACTTCATGAAGGCAGGTCTCACGCTGGGGTCCAACTAGCCAGGGTGAGGGGGTCCTGGGCGCCGCTGGTGGGGTGGCTCCGCCTCTTGGGCCGTCTCCTGGGCCGTCCCCTGGGGCTGCTCCGTCTGTAGGCCATCCGCCGACTGACGAGACCCTGGACTCCCAGCATCCGATTCGGCCCGAAGCGGGCCTGGTTTCGGAGGGGCGCCCTGGAGCTGTCAGTGGCTTGGGGTCCGCCTCTGGCAGTGTGCAGTAGCAGAATGAGGTTTTGAGCAGTTGTCGGATACTGCGCAGGCTTCTCCCACCTTTCGTATCTCCGAGGCCACGTGGGATTTGGCCCGGAGGGAGGCGTGTTTTATGATAGTGGGAGAAGGTGCACCTGTTGTGGAGGATCGGCCAGCAAGGCCGCTGCAACGAAGTGACGCCAATCCGAATGCTTCAGCCCCGTCAGCTATACTGGTACCGTCTTATATAGCCCCCCCTAGCGCGTCTGCGCGTAGCGGGGGGGGGGGGACCAGTCTCACGTCCCGCAATATCACACACATGTGCAGCTATGGTATTGTAAGCAGTGCGGTTGCTATGCCTCCTCAGTCATGCGAGAACTCGGCAAGAGCCGTACCAAGCGTATCACTTCACATCGCGCAGTATGTATCGATATGGCTTCGCGAGGGTTAGGGTCTAAGGGTTTAGATGCAAGAGAGAAGCAGTGCCGCGGTCTTGTATAGTCATGCCTTCATATGTAATTCGTCACGTGTTGTAGGCTTCCTGGCTTTGTCACGTGGTCATACTCATTATCATACTCATGCTCCTCCTCCTCCTCCAACTCCTCCTCCTCCTGTTCCTCCTGTTCCTCCTCCTCCTCCTCCTCCTCCTCCTCCTCCTCCTCCTCCCCCTCCTCCCCCTCCTCCCCCTCCTCCTCCTCCTCCTCCTCCTCCTCCTCCTCCTCCTGCGCTTCGTCCTCGTCCTCGTCCTCCACTTCCTCCCTCCTCTTCCTCCTCCTCCTCTTCCTGTTTGTGCTCGTCGCTGCCGTCGTCGTCGTCGTCCTCCTCCTCCTCCTCCTCGTCGACCCTCCCCCCGTGGTCCTCCACATCCCGTGCCTCCTTCCCCCTCCTAATGTATGCCGCCTCCTCGCACTCCTCCTGCGTGATCCTCACCCCGTTGGGGCGCAACGACCCGGATCCCCTCCCCTCCCGCCGACGTTCCCCTCTCCTCCCTCCCTCCGACGAAAGCCGAAAACGGCCAAACATTGGGAGACCAAAAGGTACCGATACCGCTACTCCACGGACCTCTCCTGGGGTGCGTCCTGACCAGGATTTCGAGGCGAATCCAGCGGTGGCGACGACGGAGGCCCAGGAGGCCAAAAAGGGGAGAAGGAGGGGAGGGAAGAGGTTTTGAGTATCGTTCCCCTCCCGCCGACGTTCCCCTCCTCCTGCCCTTGTCATCCCTCCCTCCTTAGGCAGGTTGTGGGAACGCCTCCGCCCTCAGCGTCAGTGCCCCCGCGCGCGGGCGAGCAAGGAGGCGAGCCTGCATGGGCCGCAGGACGAAACGATATCGCATGGCTCCCTCAACAAACATCCATATTTAAGTCGGGCCTGTCCCCATACAGGGGGATTTTCGACGGAAAAACAAAAATACTCCAAAAATGCTCCCAATTGGTCAAAAAATATGTTAAAAATAGTCCCCAGACTATGTTTTGACTATTTTTGAATATTCCCCCTGTAGAGGGGCAGGCCCGACTTAAATCTACATCCCACCTCCATAGGCAAAATATGACATCCGTTGAGTAGGGCTGGGGGGTCAGGTCTGCAGAACATCTCAAACGGACGTCACGGGGAACAACCAACCTGTTCGGTCAAGCCGAACTGGATGCACTACACGCGGTGTCAAGCCAATACTTTGGACATTAACGACTGGCTGGACTTTGCACACCCTCGTCGGTTTAACCGGCGAGGCGTTTGATCACCTTGACGTCCCTTTTTTGGTGGCCCTGCAGAGGAAGGCGCTCTCTGACCCTCGGCTGTACTCAAGTGCTGATCCTCCCTCGTGCTGATCCTTCCCCGCTGTGCCTTGGGCTGCCGCGCGGAGCGGTCGGCGAGGACCAGGTCTCGGATGGCTGGCTCCAGCTCTCGCCACTCCTCGCGGGCGGTGTGGCACGCCCCTCCTGGACATCTTGCTATCCCTCCTCGCCGTCCTCGTATCCCCTTGTCCTGTCGACGTCGTTGTCATCCTGCGCCTGATCCTCCTCCTCCTCCTCCTCCTCGTCTTCCTCGTCTTCCTCGTTCCTCCTCCCCCTCCTCCTCCTTTGCCTCCTCCACCTCCTCCTCCTCCCTCCTCCTCCTCGTCTCACTCGTTGTCGTTTCCTCCATCCTCCTCCTCCTGAGCTTCCCCCTCGTCCCCGCCGCTCTGCATAACCCTCAAACTCTTCGTCCCACTTCCCTCGCCTCTCATGTTTCGCTGCTGATCGGCTCGTCCCCCTCCGTTCTCTCCGCTCTGGTTATCCTCTTCGTTCTCCGAGCCTTTGCACCTCTTGTTTACTCACGGGATGGAAAGGTGTTTCAATTGCTCTAGCAGGCGGGGAGGCCGAACCTCATTCTCCCCTCCCAAAGTTCCTATCGTAGCTATGATCTTCACTTCGTGCATACTCCATGAATAATCTCGACTCTCATGGTCTGATGATGTCTCAGGAGAAGAGGTCGTCCAGAAGGATCATGAAGGCCCTTGAAGGCCGACCCTGAAGATCGATCCAAATATCCAAGCATCGATATGTCTGGGGAAAATGTGCTATCCCGCCTTGGCCCCGCACTTTGATATTCCCAGGGGATTGTTCTCACCAACGTATGAATACTGAGGACCCCCAACCCCGCCAGTGTCCATTGTGTAAATCTGTACATCCCCCCCAAAAAAAAAACGCGCGCGCTACGCGCGCGCGTAGGTTCAAGTCAACTCCGAAGACCCTCTCGTCATCCTTGTTTTCTTCTTATCCTCATCCACCCTGATGGCAGACATGTAGCCCACGACGCCACGAACGCGGGAACGGGGTCGTCGGCGTCGACGGCATCAGCTGCGTCGGCATCGTCGGTGATGTCGTCGTCGTGGTCGAGGGAAGGAGGGGGAGAGGGGAAGGGGAGGGAGGGAGGTAGTGAAGAAGGTAAGCAAAGATGCATAACAGAAAGAAACAATGAACAGAACGGGCAAGGAAGCGCGGGCTGGATCAGCGGAGGAGTCTGGATATCTCTTGCCTCTCAATTTTGCCTCCTCCTCCTCCTCGTCATCCTCATCCTCGTCCTCTGCTGCGGCGCCCTTCCTCCTCCCCTCGTCCTCCTCCTCCTCTTCCTCGTTCCCGAAAGGCTCTCAAGGAGCTTTTTGGTCGTGGCCGTGTGGAGGCCCTCAGTGCAGCCCCCCTCTGGGAGGTCGAGGCTCGTTGTGGCGCCCTCTTGGGCTGTGTTGGGGCTCTCTCGTGGATGCCTCTTGGTCCCTTGCTCCGCCTCCGAACGTCGTAAAGCGGACGGGGCGACCATGCGAAGATCCACGAAACACCAGCGGCAAATTGAGTTGTTCTGCCTATGCGAGCTCTCTCGGAGAGCAGTTTGGAGACCTCTTGGGCCGTCTTGGACGCCTCGTGGGCAGCATCGAAGCACTGGAGGGCGGGCTGGGGCCGCTTCGGCGCCCTATGTGCGTTGTGTGGGCCCTGTTGGAGAGTCCAGGCTCAGTTGGGTGGCCGCCTCAGGGCCTTTTGGACTATCTTGGGCGACTCTTGGGCCATTCTGGCGCCCTCTAGGGGCGTGTTGGGGCCCTCGTGGACGCCTCTTGTGCCATCTCCGAGCGTCGGGAAGCGGAGCAGGCGACCATGCGAGTATCGATCAAACACCAATGGATAATCAATGATGTTTGCCTACTGGGGCTCTCTCGGAGAGCATTTTGAAGCCCTCGTGGGCCGTCTTGAATGCCTCGTGAGCCGCATCGATGCAATTGTGGGCGTGCTGGGGCCATTTGGGGGCCACGTGGGCCTCCTTAGGGCACCTGTGGCATGTCCAAACTCATTTGGAGGGCCGCCTGGAGCCTCCTTGCGCAATCTTGGGCGCATATTGGACCGTCTTGGCGCCCTCTGGGGGTTTGTTTGGGCCCTCTGGGGCGCCTCTTGTGCCGTCTCCGGGCGTCGGGCCGCGGAACAGCCGACCACACAGAAATCCTTGGAAAGCTATTGGGGAATCAATGATCTTCGCCCCTAAGGCCTCTCTCGGAGAGCATTTTGAAGCTCTCTTGGGCCGTCTTGGAGGCCACGTGTGCCGTCTCCGAACAATGGTCGGCGTGCTGGGGTGCGTTTTGGTGCCAGGGCCTCCTGGAAGGTCCTTTTCGCGGGTCGAGGCCAGTCTGGCCCCCCATGCCACGCTGTGGCACAAGCCCGACCCCCCCCCCCCAGGGCCTACTCATGTATGCATGTACGCCTGCATGCATGCATTCATGCATGGATGCATGCATGCGTGCGTGCGTGCATGTATGTATGTACGAATGTATGTATGCATGTATATGCGTATGTATGTATACCTGCATGCATGTATGCGTGCATGTTTGTATGCGTGCATGTACGCATGCATGTACGCATGCATGTATGCATGCATGCATGCATGTGTGCATGTGTGTGCGTCTATGTGTATACATGTATGTATGCATGAATGTATGTCTGATGTATGCATGTATGCATGCATACATGCATGCATGTATGTATGTAGGTGTGCATTTGTGGACGTGTCTACGTGTGTGCAAATATGCATGTATGCATGCATGCATGCAAGCATACATACTTGCAATATGTATGTGCGTACATGGATACCTATTTGGGTATGCATGAATGTATGTGTGTATGCAGGTGTGTGTTGCTGTGCCATATATACATATATGTGCATGTGTTAATGCATATGCATGTAACTATACACATATGTATGTGTGTATGATTGTGACTCGTAATGTGTGTATACATGATGTACATCATAGGCTGCAGCGCATGTTATGCATCACAGACGTTGCACAGCATCGACTGCACAACATAATAATGTACAACATAGTTTGCACCACATCTACAGCACAACTGATACTGGTCCACTTAGGTTGCACATCATCTACTGCTAGGTGAGCGTTTTCTTATGCGGCGTTTCGACATTGGGCGGAAGGGGGGGGGATTGGGGGGGGTCTGGCTCTGGACCTCTGCTTAGTGCGACTATTTGCAGCAGTGCGCACTATGGGGGAGCCTCCACCTGCTCGAAACAGGCGCCAAAAACAGCGAAGCTCTAATTACTCCAGGGGGGGGAGAGGGGAGGGGCGGTGCGAGTGCGAGGGCCCGCGCCGATCCGCAAAACAATGAATTAGAAAACGATCACTAGAAGCACTGTTTGGGGCCCGCGCTGGCTAACATGTCCTTGACATCTTCAATGGATTTCAATTCTCGCCTTTTCTGTCTCAAGAGCGCCCACGACAGCGCCACGACCAACCGAAGACGGCCCCTAAGGCCCCCAAGAGGACCAAACGAAGACCCCCTCTTTGCGTGCTTCTTCAAGCCCTCCCCACCCTACCAAAACAAGCCCCCCCGTCGACCTGCCCCCGCCGCCCCTCCACCCGTCGACCTGGCCCCGAAATCCTCACCTCCTGGACATCGGTTCTTCAGCCCCCCACCCAACAATTTCCGTCCCCCGTCGATCTGGCCCCGGCGTCCTTCCCTCCTGGACCTCGGTCCTCCAGCGCCCCCCCCCAGCAATTCCCGTGCCCCACCGCCCCCCCCCCGTCGACCAGCAATTCCCGTGCCCCGCCGCCCCCCCCCCCCGTCGACCATGGCCCCGGCGTCCTTCCCTCCTGGACCTAATTCTCCAGCCCCCCCCAGCAATTTCCAGGCCCCGCCGCCCTCCCCCCGTCGACCAGCAATTTCTGTGCCCCGCCGCCCCTCCCCCCCGTCGACCTGGCCCCGGCAACCTCACCTCCTGGACCGCGGTTCGCCCCAACCAGGTCCGACCCCCGCACCCTCCTGGAGGCTCCGTTCTTGAGACCCCCCACCCGACAATTCCGCGCTTGGAACCGACCCTGACCCCCAACCACGTCCCTACCACGCCCCCGCCAGGTTCGACCCCCGCCCCTTCCTGGAAGCTGTGTTCTTGAGACCCCCCGCCCGACGTTTCCGCGCCACGAACCAGCCCGGACGCCCCACCAAGTCCCCACCACGCCCCTACCAAGTCTGACACCCGCACCCTCCTGGAGGCTCTGTTCTTGAGACCCCCCCACCCGGCAATTCCGCGCCCGGAACCGACCCTGATCTCCCACCAAGTCCCCACCACGCCCCCACCACGGTTCTTCGGGAGCCCCCCTTGAAAAATCCGCCCCGGGACCCCCACCCGCGACGCTCGACATCCCCAGCCTCCTGGAGCCCCAGTGCATCAGCTCTTCGCGACCCCCCACCCTGCAAAATCCGCCCCGGGACCCCCCCCACCACGCTCGACATGCCCAGCCTCCCGGAGCCCCTGTGCATATTCTTCCGGGCCCCCTAACCCTCCTGGAGGCTCTGACTTTGGGACCCCCCGCCCGACAATTCCGCGCCAGGAGCCGACCCTGACCCCCCGCCAGGTCCCCCCCACGCCCCCACCAAGTCCGACCCCCGCACCCTCCTGGAGGCCCTGTTCTTGTGACCCCCCACTCGACATTTCCGCGCCCGGAACCGACCCTGACCCCACCAGGTCGTCACCACGCCCGACCGCCGCACGCTCCTGGACCTCTGTTCTTTAGACCCCCCGCCCGACAATTCCACGCCCGGAACCAGCCCTGACCCCCAGGTCCCCACCGCGCCCCCACCAGGTCCTCCCCCACTCCGCGCTTGGAACCGACCCTGACCCCCCACCAGGTCCCCACCACGCCCCCAGCCCAGAGACGACCCAAGAGCGCCCCAAGCCGGTCCAAGAGAGTCCCAAGACGGTCCAAGAGAGCCTCCAGACGGCTCCAGATCGCTCCAAGACGCTCAAGATTGCCTCCAAACGGCCCAAAACGCTTCCAAGACGGCCAGCGAGGCCTCCAAGAGCTCCCCCTAGAGAACTCCAAGAGACAAAAATCATTGATTTGTCGATTGCTTTTGAAAGATTTTCGCGTTCTCGCCATTTCG